AATAAATTTGATAAGGTAATGTTGATTTTACTGGTAAATTTTCTACTGGTTCTGTTTGGATTGCATTTTTCTATGGGCTCCCGCTAATGGAAATTACAATTTTTACGGCGTTTGTTGTTTCGGTCCCTTTTTGAAAAAAGATTTTTTCAATTCCCGTTTTTATGAGAGGCAATTTAATTTAACCGTTTATTATATTTATCAAAAAATTCATTGTAAGCGGAATTTGGACGTTTTGCAACATAAATTAGCCAGATCCCGATGAGCTCTGACGCTTAAAAATAGAATAAGTACATCTACGAATGCTCATATACGAAAATAGTATAGAAGTATATATTTAAAAAAATATTTTTTAATAAGGTAAAGTCCAGGTGGAAAAATTTATTCAAGATTATTTTCCACTTCCAAAATGTCCGGATTGATATTTTGATATGTCGTTGTACTTACTTAACCTAAAAGTCATTTAAAATTATAAAAAAAAAAACATTATCAAGCCGGTCTTCATTTTATTGTATTTTTTAGTTTAGTAGTTCAGAATTTATATTCTAAACCTGCTTATCATTTGTATGTGAAATAGAGACAACAAATATATATATATATATATATATATATATATATATATATATATATATATATATATATATATATATATATATATATATATATATATATATATATATATATATATTCCGGGATATCATCCGTTCGCTTGTTGAACTCCGACTGGAATCCTGCAGACGTTTCGCCAAAATCTCACTTGGCATCTTCAATGCTCGCGCTCCGAAAACACTTACAATACTTAAAATTACTTAAAAATACAATTACAAAAAAATAATGAAAGTGGCACTTTTATGCCAATGCCTTATACCGATGAGGACATGTCGGCTCTAATTCATTCGCTGAAAAACAAAAGATCTTCTGGTATCGACGAAATTCCTATACGACTTATAAAGGCATGTTGTGATATTCTAGTTCAGTACTTAACAACAATCATTAATGAGTCAATTTCGTTTGGGCAATTTCTCTCAGCGTTAAAAAACTCGAAAGTGATCCTTTTATTCAAAAAAGGGGACTCCACATTAGGCGATAATTATAGACCTATAACAATAGCAAGTTGCTTATCTAAAATATTAGAGAAGGCAATGTACAACCGAATTCAGCAACATATTTATGATAAACTCGATGTCGGAGAGACAGTAGCCGGAGTGTTTTTCGATTTGTCGTGCGCTTTCGACTCATTAAATTTGAGGGCCTAAATCATGTCGTATATGAATCAAAGAAAAATATGTGTAAAGGTAAATGAAACATATTCTTTTTCTCCTATAGCCGAACGATTTACCTGAAATCTTTAACAGTAACTGTCGAGTTTTTTATGTACACGAACGACACGCCCGTGTTCGTCGTGTTGGTCAGTTGCGGATGGATTTACTGGCCAGTACATTAAACCTTTAGACCTTTTAGTTTCTCTGGAACATCCTTAGAAAAAAGTAAGAGCACAAGATTTCTTGGCTCCTACATTGATGCACCATTGAGGTGGGATCAAGACATAAATAGTGTTTGTAGTAAACTAAATAAAACATTCTTTGCCATATTAGCAATTAGATATTCATTTCTTGAGAGATCACTATTAGTTTTTTATTATGCTTCGGCATACTCCTCAATTTCTTACAACATTGTGAACTGGCGGCAAGCTAGTGAAGCTGAAAGGATGTTGGTACAGCAGAAAAGAATACTTAGGCTAATTTTTAAACTTTCTCCGAGACAGTGTTGGAACGAAATATTTCAGCAACACAAAATAATGACGGTTCCTTGTATATACTCATTTAAAATACTGCTAGTTACACACAAAAATAAACATTTACATAAGAAACATTGATAACCATTGTCACTACACTCGTAACACAGAAAATCTATTAAAGCCTAAACTGAATCACATGTTTTGTAGAAGGTCTTTAGGCTATGCAGGGTCACACTATTATTATATGCTCCCGTCGAGCTTAAAAAACCTTTCTACCAAGCAATTTAAGAAGCATGTCAAGATATTTCTGACAACCAATGCTTTTTATAGCCTAAATGAATTCGAAGCGCATGTTCTAAATAAATGTTTGTAATGTTATGTATATATTTGTATTGTTTGTTATATACACATCTTATATGATTGTCCTATATGTATAACTTTATTGTGACGAAACATCCATTGTAATGGATGTTGTGAATAAATGATTATCTACAGTAGGGGCGGCTGCTACGTTCTGAAGTATATTCTATATAGTATGTTTCACGATCTAAAAAATTGAATTGACTACCTAAACCTACATAAAATTTGATAAGACCCACAAGTCGTAAATTTATGTCCACCTAGTGAAACGGCATTGTACAGGGCTACACTACTATTAATATACTATCGATGGGTATTAATATATCAATAGTACATGTATATTAATACACAAATAATATTACATCTAGTACCGATATTGTTACGGTTAAGTATCCGGGTAGAGTCTAATCGTCATTTCTTTTCCTTTCTTAGGCCGTGAAAAGTACTATACAGAGTGGGTCAACGACTGAGTAAAGTTAATTGTCTCATTAGTTTCAGAAGTTATGAGATAATAATGAATACAAAAGATTATTAGGATGCACAATGTAAAATTTTCTAAAGTATACAGGGTCGGTGACGAATAAAACATACATATTTTTAATTGGAACACGCTATACCTAAATGCAACAGTTTTTTCAATATTTTAATTTTTCTAAAAAAATACTAGTTTTTACACTTGCAAAAAAATTACGATGGTGCCTTTATTTTTAAAGCTTAGTTATAAGAATAAGATAGTTGAGATAACATTACTTATATTCGATATTAGCGTTATTAAGATAATGTAAAAGATATATGCAACGGAATTTTAATAAGATGCTACAGGGTGTTCCAAATAAATCAACATATTTGGATCATTTTAAATTGAACAAATCTCGATTTTGTTAAATGGTACACCATACATATTGTTATTTTTTCTCCATGATCTTACAAAAAATTGCAATATTTATTAATTTCTCTCTGTCTAAGACTGTTGCTGTAACTTTAGTTGGCCATGACAAATTTTTACCTGACAACTGAGTTTTTAGGATGCAGAAACGCATTTTACGTACTGTTCAAGCCGTCGAATTTTTCATGTCGAGACCTATTTCCTCAACACTCTTTATTGACACTTATGTAAAAAGCAACTCTAATCTTTATATGCTCTAAAAAACTCAGATATTCAATACAATTATTTTTTGGTTAGTTTTGGTTATATTGCCTATAGAACTGAAACAGATAGCTAGTCACACAAAATTCAAATACACTTTTGAAAACAAATTGCTACGCCTCGCCTATTACGATATTAAGGATTTTTTTTCTTGTGATACTTTTCAATACATATTCGTTGTCTGCTATTGACTATATAGTTGTTATTTATTATTAATATTATTAAAAAAATAATTATACTAATATAATTTTATATTATTTATATTTGTGATATACTGACAATATCCAACACTTATAACTCAACTCTTATGGAAATTAAATCTTTATTATCCACAGAAATGGATCGGTAGAGGTGGATTCATTGTATGACCCCCCCGATCATCTTTTTGTGAGGATATGTTAAAGATCCTGTTTATGTGAATCCTTTTACAACACCAGAAGATATGGAAAATAGAATTCCAAACGCATGCAGGAGAATGACACTAAGCATTGTGTATCCAAGTAGAAAGAAATATTTTTGAACATTTATTGCGTCACAATAATAATTTAAAGTAAGATCAGTTAAGTCAAAATTTGGCCGTTATTTTCACCAAAATTGCTAATACTGTCTATTGCTTTATCTACGGCCCCAACAAAGTTCTTTCACCTATTCTTTTTTTAATCTTAACTCAGCTCTGTTGGCTAATAATAGTCTTTTCATGGCCAACTAATATTGTAACAATAGTCTTAGACAGAAAGAAGGGTAAATATTGTTAAAATAAATCGCAAAGTATTAAAAACAGGTATGTGATAAACTTAATAAAAGTTCTAGGTTTTTGTAAAATCTCTCAGAAAAAATAATAATATATGTGGTGTGCCATTTAAAAAAATCGAGATTTGAAATAAAATTTAAAATTCAAATTCCTTTGCATATATCTTTGCGTTAGCTTCGAATAACGCTACTGTCAAATTTGAGTGATCTACCTTAAAAAATAATGGCGGCATCGTAAGTTTTTTGCACGTGTGAAAACTATTATTTTTTTAGAAAAATTAAAATATTGGAAAAACTGTAAGAATAAGAATTTCAAAACGAATTCAAAACAAAATTAAAAAATGGGATGTTCCGTTTTAAAAAATGTGTGTTTTATTCGTCACACTTTTTTCAGACACTTTGAAATAATTTTAAATTGCTCATCCTAATAATCTTTACCATTTTCCGTTGAAAAATCTTTTTAAATAGTACTTCCCTTTGGAAGTTTCTTTGAAAAATTACCATTTTCTCATAACCTAAACGTTTGGCTATTTACTGTGAATATGTAAAGTTCGCAATGATATTGCTCTATGATTTAAAGTTCTACAAGAATTTACACTTGACGTCCTCGTCACGATAATTCGGTTTACTTCAAATATTCTACCCCATATCCAGCGCACGTTCGAAACAGTCTCTTTATATGCGAGATACAAGTTGAATGTTAATTAGAGACTTAGCAATTAACCATGTTCTGGCCAGAGTTCCACGGTAAAATAGGTCTCATACTACTAAATGTGAAAACCGAGTAGAATGTTAATTTCCAAGCGACTAGCTCGAACATCCTTCAAGTTGGTTACTTTGACGTAAATAGTTATCCAAATTTTAATCAAATGCGAAACAAGTTTCGGTCTGCTCGAGTTATTTTGAAACTAATAAACACCAAATCAGAAGTCTTCAAGGAAAATTTTTTTTCCTAGCATTATTAGATAAATTCCTGAAAACATGTTGCAAATAATTTAAAAAACTTACTTAATATTTCGATGGTGTGAATTAGATCTCCTTGCGTGCCGTCTCCTATCTGGCATGTGTAGTCTCCTTGATCCGAATGTTTTATTTCTTTGATTTGCAAGTTGTAACCTATCAGAGAAACTCGCGGATCCATGGATATCTTTTGCTGGCCCGCACTGAGAAGGGTCGTTCCTTTTTTCCACACTATCACGAAAGGCCCTAAAACAAAATGTATATATTGTACAATTCCAAAAGGCATTCTTACACTCTTCTCGTTATCCTATTATTGGTTTTTCATCTTTGGTTGGGACAGAGAAACATTTTCAGAAAATGTAATGTTTATATTTTAGAAGTGTTTTGAGAACAAAATAGTTTATGTTGATTACCACACCTTATATTATGTAATATAATTACGCAAAAGTGATTTAAAAATTTGATAAATTGACAATTGACAATTGACAATATATTTGTTAAATTCAACGTTTATACCCAAAAAATGATTTTTAATCAATTCCTTTCTATACTCCTTTTCTATTTGGTAGTTTTTCTGACAATTACATTTTGCAATTACCATTTTAGCTCAACATATTATAAATGTTAATGGGTTTCCATAAATAATGGAGGATAAAATGGAATATAAATTGTCTACCAGTTTCATGCGTGATTCTAGTTGCAAAAGTTTCAACTGCTAACTTACGAACTAACCAGTCAAACAAATTATTTTTGAAAAATCCATGATAAGTTTAACAATATAAAATATCATGTCTTTATTCCTTACAGTTTGTGAATTATTAACTTTAAATGCGAGTTTATCCACAGTTCCTTCTATTGCTACAGTTATTTTCATATAAAAACCAAAGACGTCATTCTAAAAGCTTTATGTAAATCATGTTTTCGTTATTGTTTTATCTTGTTTCACTTTTCGCATTTCACATATAATTTTTCGAATTTGCGGCCAAACGTAACTGATACCAAAATGTTCTTCTTTTAGGCTTAGGCAGGCTATTTGACATGCGAGGGCAACAACTTTCCCAAATATTTTTGTTCTACAGTAGTAGTGAACATAGGGGAAACTGGATATCTAACAGTTTTGAACTAATATTATTTTATTTTTATTGAAATTCCAATAAGAGCTAAGTTTTGAACACATGAGCAACAATCCTTTCTCTCTGTTCTCGCAAATTCAATCAGCGTAAAAAAGGTGTAAGATTCTAATTTGACTGAAGTTCTCTCTCCAATAACAAACTAGTTGAAGCAGCTTGTATATAATTTCGGTAAAGAATATTTTTTTGCTAAAACTGTTCGCGAGAATGGGCAATATTTATTTAGGAACATAATTCAATATTTGTAACAGGAGCACACAAGACCCGAGGCGGTTTGTTTTCGATTTATCTTTGATATGTTATTTCCAGTTCTAACGAGCTTATCAAAACATTTTTTTCATGAAAATTTTCCGTTGTGGTTTTTATTAGATCCACATGATCGTAAAAGTTTTATAAATTTAATGAAAGCTTAAGGACCGAACCAATATGCGCAAAGTTTTCACAAAAAAATGTCCAACCGCTCGATAAATGTATTTTCCAAGAGGTCGTTAAAATCATGTATATCTCTTGAGTTAATTAGAATGACACTAAATTGCAATCTACAACCTTAAAAAATGTTGGAATAGGTTTTCAGCTTCCTCTAGCCGAACTTGACTAAACATTTCTGTCAGATGCATATTACCGGAAAAAACATTCTATCTGCACACAGTGTAGTATCCCCACTTTTCTAAGACTTATTTGTAAACTTCACAATGTTTAATTCCAGAACAATTGGATGTTTATTTGCATTTAATAGTATAGTAACGAACAAGTTTCATAAACAACGCTTTAGACCTCTTTAGACACGAGCGACGCAAATTGGTGACATTTAATAAATTATTTGGATTAAAATCATATTTTACGGCAACGTATTTTTGTAAAACTCTTTGGACTCACAAAACAATTTTTTCTAGAGACTAAAAATGCGTCCCATGAAACAAGCTGCCTCGAAAATTATTTTCAGTAATTATCGTAATTAAAATAATTACGTAATTTCTTTGCTGGCGGTTTCACATTAGGCAAATAAAAAAGTTCCTTTGTACACAAACTGTCGGTTTACTTAAAACGTCCCAGATACTCCTTTGAGAAGTTCCTCTCCGTATTTCACATTATACAATTCTCAGCAATTTTACTTTTTTGTCGCTGCGTTTTTATAAAAATTATTTAGTTTGAAATATTGCGCTCCGTTTGAAAACCGCCTTGCATTAAATTATGTCCTATTTTGCAGGCTGTTACTGCTGCACGTGCAGTAGCAATTATTTTTAGGTTGAGAATAAAAAACTATACGTAAACATAAGTCTAGATAATTTTTGCAAAGAATTTGGGATTTTGAATACTTAGATTATTTCTTAAACTAAATAAAATTATGCTGAGTAAAAACAGGACACAAGAAAACACAAAAGAAAATAAATAAGAGTTCTTTAGAGTGTTGCGGATTTTCGATCATAAATTTTATACCTAGAATAAAAACAGTGGGTTTTAATCGATTTAACTTACGAATTTCTCAATAATCTGTAAATTTGGGAGATGATGGGTAATAGACGATACCATCAAGACCTGAAAATTTTTAAGGGTGCAACTTAATTAAGAGGTAAGGTAAATCCGCATCTTTTGGATGCGGATTTACCTTACCTTATAAATTTAAAGTATTCATTTGCCATTTATAGCACTGCCTTTCGTTAACTGCGACAACACGTTGGTAAGTTACCCAAAGGTGGAATTTCCATACCAACGAAACCGCCTCAAAAACTTTAATTGTTTGTTAATAAGAAAAGTTAATAGTATATTATGCAACAAGTGCGGTAAACGGAATTTGACACGAGCGGAGCGAGTGCTTAATAAGCGAGTGAGTTAAAAACTTTACCGAACGTTTTGCATTCTATACTTTTTCTACGACCGTTAGTTTTTGGGTACGTTTTCGTAAAACAACACGAATACATTCACTGACATGATCGTCAGAATTGACAAACGTCAACATTCAAAGCGTGGGAAATATCTCCGAAAGCATCCGATTGCTCCTAAATCCGTGTGGTAAAATCCCGGAAATGTACGAAGTGGCTCGGATTCGTGGGAAAGGAAACTGACGTGGTAAAGTGACGCTTCCCGCACGCTAGATCGGTGAGTAATTAGGGATTTTACAGACGGGAGTAGAGAAAATATATTTTAATTTAAGAACAACTACGAAAAGACGTAACATCAAATGGAACGAGAGGAAATATGAAGAAATGTTTTTGGCCACTCCTGTTGAATGTATTGCTTAGTACAGCATCAAGTAGATATATGATTAAGGCGAATTTGTAAGCCTAATTACGTTAAAAAGCATTTGTGTTAATTTTCAGAAAGTATTCAATACTTAGTAGAAAAAACGGAGTCGACCAAATAAATGTAGTCCCAGTTATAATAAGGCAAGAAAAGCTTAAGAAATAGTGCGGCTTATATTAGGCGGCAAGACATTCAATTCCAATTCTGGGGAAAATATGATTTATGTTGTGTATTTTCTGCAGGCACCACATATACCAATGTAATAAACCAGGAGAGTTCAGAATGAGATTTTTTCAAAATAAGAAAAAATATCGTAAATCAAATCAATTTTACCTTGTATACCAATCAGGAAGAATCCAACAATAGAAACGTTTGCGTCGTAAATACCACGAGGTCTAATTGAAAACGTTGTGCTGTACTAAAAATAATTTCCATTTCAATATCCTCGACTCGTATCTCCCTTTATTCGTTCTGCATTCCCAAACGATAATACTAAAGAAAATGCGGAATAAACGTTCATTTAAGTAGGCTTCGCAATATATTATGGAATGTTAGGATGACTGAATTAAGTATATTTAATTTTATTTCGCATTATGGAACATTCCGTTCATTCTGGGGTAATTTTATTGTGAGCAAATTATTTGCCATATACCTGCGCTTAGTTGTGCCATAACTAAACAGTTCAGTCTAAGATAATGTCTATTCGTAGACAAGATTTTATATAGGAGAACTTAAACGAATACAACTGAATTTATACTAAATTTTGGAGGTCTGCAAAAACTCATTTCTGATATTACATTGCATGTGCCTTAAACTTAATATTGAGATTTAAAACAACAGTTTTACAAAAGTAGTATTAGTTACATCTAGTTAAATTGCTTTTTATCTGATGTTAGGCATATTTTTAAGTAATTTTTGTCTCAGAACGTGGATATATTATATCTGGATGGTCTTTATATATGGACGTTCAGGAATGTTTCATTCTTTATCTGATTTGATTTTTCGCTGATGATTTAAAATTAAGCTCTACTATTAAATCACTTGGTGATTAGCTATTTTATTTAGAAATATAGCTATAAAAATTGGTCAACTAAATGATGTATCATCAAAGATCTAGAACTTATAATATTATACTATACTTATACTATACTATTAGTTACTCTTACGATCACATTAATAATGCTGTTAATAAAGCTTTCCAAATGCTTGGTTTCATTAGACGACTTAACCAACATAAATACGTTAAAAGTTTTGTGTCGTTCTCTTGTGTGTCTTGTTCTTGCCTCATGTGCCTGGTCAATCTTTTTACAATGATGCTGAAGTACTTTCTATACTGAATATGATGCCAATATTTGTGCATTAAAATTTTGATAACATTATCCATAGAAAAACTTGTGCCACCTGTATTCTTGATAAAATTAACCTGAATAGCTTTGTAATAGCAACCAGCTCATCTCATACTTTTTAATATCCAATTTGCTGCATAAATTACGGAATTCATAGTTTTCTTTCTAAAACTGCTAGAAAACGAATGAACACTGTCTCGTTGACTTTTTGCACTGTTCGACTTTTTCTTGAACCAGGTTTATAATAAAAAGGGGTAGAAAATATTCTTTCTAATGTCTTGAATTTCTGTATTGGAAGTTGATACTGAATGAAAGAACTCTGAACCGAACATAGCGAATGTTAGTTTTAAGTTTACCTAAAAATAAGGAATAAAGACTAATTACGGTATCTCCCTACCTCCAGCTATTTAGAAGTCATTCAAAAAAAGTTAAAGTGCAAATTTTTAAAGTGTTATTGTTCTGAAACTTTTCTTTTAAAATAGGTCTGACGTAGAACTCTTTTTGTCGTTAACAAAGTTTTTCAGCCGTC